TTGCGAAGCACAATGAAGGCTGATGTTTTTTTAAGAGATACTTACTCCCTCCAAACACCTGGAGTAACTCTCTGCTGTATCTGCAGATGTCACCGCCAGCACCTCTAAGGAATCTGGTGAATCTGGCGAATCAGATGGTAAGGGTTTAAAAAGACACAGCTCCACACAGACCCTAACCCTAGAAACCAGGACATGTAAGCTAGATAGTCTGCAAGAACGTCGGTCCTTGATGTTTTTCATTCGTACTAATGAGACTCCCGTTGATCAGTGTCGCCACCTTGTGGCAGGGCAGTCAAACAGCAGCAAATATATCTAATTGTAGAATCTGATCATTCTCTGTCATTATCTCTTTATGTAGTTGACCCCAATATTCAAGGTGACATAGAGCTTCTGTGTAACAGTAAGGACCTTAAGACACAATAACCAGTGTTATTTGGATATGAAATGACTACTAATAAGGGAATATTGATCAGCAGCTGGAAAGGGGCATTGAAGCCTCACTGGACCATTGTGGGATGAGACTCACTGGCTTGTTTGCATTGGTTATTGGCTGTATTGGTACAAAAAAGGTTAATCCACAACCTCCAGAAGTTTCAAAGCCCCATTTCTCTAAAAATAACTAATAAAATCAACTAAGCAAAAGGTCAGGATGTTCGAATAGTTTAATGCTTGAGACATAATCTTTTTTGGCCTCTTATTAATGAAATGAATCAAATGTTCTAAAATCCTTGACTATATCCTGTCTCCACTCTAGAATCCACCGAGAATAAAGATCGTGACAGTAAGTTTGTCTCTTTGAGCTTCTACTGACTAATCAGCCTGGCGTGCTTTTTTATATATATTACACCACCATTGGCTGTTAGGTTAGAACTAACATATGTTACCAAACACAAAGGTGCCATGGAGCTTAAAGGGACAGTTCACCCCAAAACTGAAAACAGATGTTTTAGGGGGGGGCTTTAGTGCTATCTATCCATCTAGGTTGTTCTTCTGGGAGTTACCTAATTTTGGAGATATCGGTCGTAGAAACGTTGGTCTTCTCTGAAATATAATGTGAGCGAATAGCATTCTTTCTCTGGTGATTAAAGCGCCAAAAAAATTCCAATTGAAGAATTCAGCAGCAATGTCTATTAACAGGAATCATGACCCGGTTATTGAAGATAATCTACAGACTTTGTAGTGAGCGCTTTATTGTAGGAACTGTTTTCTTCTACCAAATTCTACACACCAATCGTATCACTGCACAGGAGATATGGCCTGGGTGCTCACGCTCGTATAAGCTGATGGTTAAAATACACTGCTGATAAACTGATTTTGACCCAGTTACATTAGTGACCTTAGTGCATAGCCCATTGCGTAAACGGCTGAACAGCAAACTGTAGAATATGCTGCAATAATATTGGGTAACTATTTGTGCTATTTCTGACATTGCTGGGCTAGTTTCAGAAGACAGTATTCCACTTTTTTTTTTTCCCACCCTTATTTTGCTCAAGTTTTCAAAGGTGTGCAGCTTTACTTGGCTGCAGACCAAGTGACGTCAACAGGAGCTAAACGGCGTGAGATGATCTGTGTTAAATCCGTTGGCAGGTGCTGAGGCCGGGCCTCGGGTGCAATGAGGTCACACTATGTGCAGTGAGGTCACACTATGTGCAATGAGGTCACACTATGTGCAGTGAGGTCACACTATGTGCAATGAGATCACACTGTGCAGTGAGGTCACACTATGTGCAATGAGGTCACACTATGTGCAGTGAGGTCACACTATGTGCAGTGAGGTCACACTCCTGACGTCTTACTAGGCCTCCTAAGTCGCGGGTTGTTTTGGGGAATAAACCTTGGTTCAGTTAGTTTGACATACACACCACTACCAGCTGCTAGTTTGATGATACTTTAGAGTCAAGTTGCATGAGCCCTCGTGACAATGGTATCCTTTTGAGTTTGACATTCAGTTCTCAGTTCATGTTTTTTATCTCTCCCCCCCCCACCCCCACCCCGCCCAGCTGCGAGACAAAAGAGACGTAAGTGCTACTTGATTTCTGCAGCCTCACAAGGGCCTGAGGGCTGGTCCACGGTGGATCCCATTGTTTAATTACTCTGAAGTTGAAGTACAGTGAATGTCAGTGCAGTTAGGAAAGTTCCAGAACTGCCCAGGGAGGGGAAAGGGACTAGATGCTCACTATCATGCCCAGACACAAGGGCTGAAGCGAAACCGAAAAACTGGTAACAGTTTAAGCGTAAACAGCGGTTCCTGTCGGCCAGTGAGCCAATAGCAATTGGACATTATTTACCAAGGGGAAGCGCTTAACGAAGCGATAAGCCATTTAGTTTATTATACCTTTTTAAAAGATAGAGGGAGGGGTCTGGTATGTTAATACATCTTTAATCATCCAGAATATTGGATACATGACATAGTGTTGGTACATTACCTGATGTGATATGAAAGCTAGTGGTGTCCAAACATTACTGGTTATCTGCAGCCACTTGAGTACCTTGTCCCCCCCCCTCATCAAGGGTGCTGGGTGTCAGATGTCAAAGGAATCGTGTAATTTTCTGTAGGACAGGGGTTATAAAAGGAAGTGACATGTTGACTCCCTGCTATTGAACAATATATCCAGTGTCCTCCTTTTCATCCACAGAGCACCCTGAGGATCCTGATTACAATTACGAGTACCATTACGCTGACAACTACCCATTAGGTTGGTCTCCTTAACCTTCCATGACATCTATACCGAACAGGCATTTCTCACAGCTGTTAGCATGAAGAAATTCTACCAAAAATACACAGATGCTCAAACACGAAGTACAAAACAACTTTGAACACGATGCGGTTTCTCACGGCAGCAATGTGAAAGAGAACGATGTATAAAAATAGCCTGTTTGAAGCCGAGTGCACGTCCAGCACACGGCAGATGGTCACTTCGTAGATTCTCTGGCCGCCTGTCATTCTGCAGCTTGATTTAGCTGACTAATGGCTCTAATCATTCACCACATCTGCTGCTATCGTTCACCATAATCCCGAACCTCCCCCTGCAGACCACACCACCTACTGCTTACTCAGGGGTGAAGGCATAACTGGCCCGAAAGTGTCGCAGAGGGTCTAAACTTCCATCTGATATTCTGCTTGTGACTTAGTCATGTCACACTCGACTCTGAAAGACTAAGGCCTTTAAGATCATCTTCCGTTTTGTGATTCTCACTGATCTTGTAATCAATGAGATTCCTGGAATCGACTACCGTCTGCGAGGTTCGTCGCATGCCAGACCTTCATCACGTTTCACCGTTCTAATCGGCACCTGACACCCGTCAGACATATTCGTCAGTCGCCAGCACCCATTTGACTCTTATTGGTTACTCGTGGGAAAAGTCCCGCCCCCTGTCATGCAAATTGCCAATGACGTGCTCTCTATCTGTAGCAGATGACACAGAGTGATGCAGCAGGTGGAGCAGGGCAACACGGAAGTCCCGGTGTTGGTGAAGAGGAACGCCACCTATCAATGAGCCAAAGCGTTACCTGCTGAGGATAAGGGGGTACCGGTACAAATCCAAAAGGAAAAAAAATACACTAACATGTGAGATACACTCCACACGGGCATGATTAATGTTAATCAGTTGCAGATACTTCACTTCTAAGCTAAACACTTCTGTGCAGCCTGGAACTAATGACTAACACCACAAGTGAGTGGAATTATGAAAAGTTTATTCATCTTTTCATTCCATCTTCAGAACCCCCCCCCCAAATTAATTACAAAAGAATGAGTTTGTACACAGTAGAATTGGGTGGGTAAGAGAAAATATCTCACAAAAGCTCTTTAGCAGCACAGTAAATGGGACTCAGCTGCCCCCCCCCCAAAAAAAAAACCTGAAAGCACCCCCCCCACACACACACACAAAGCCAAGCTGCCCCCCACGGCCTGGACGCCTCTCACTGGTCATTCAGCAGCTTGGCCCCACAGCGCTACCGCCTCCGGTGTCACGGCCTCGTTCTGGGCACCAGCAAACAGGGGGGGGGGGGTGTCACACACAAAAGCTAGACCTAACTAAGCACCAGTTGCCAACCACCCACAGAAAAGTTTGGACAGACTCCAAAAAGAATTTATTCCCATTTTGTTTTGGGGCAGATCTTTAAACAAAGTTGTTGTTTATGAAACGCCGCCGTAATCAATCTGAGCTTTTAGACTGATATAAATACATTTGCTAGAGGGATTGTTACGCTTTGGGATAAGTTGTATCTTTCCTTGTTTATCTTCCTGGATCTCGTTTCCTTTGTAACGACTCTGTTGTGGTTAAGGTCTGTCTGCCTTTTAACGAAGACCACGGTTTCATTAAACTGATAACTAAACACTGGCGTACTCCGATCTGTCCCCATGGAGCGCGTTACCGTTCCAGAAAGACCCCCGCAGGTCTAGCACTGCAGATTAAAAGGGTGTCGATCTGCTCATGTCCACACCCGCTTACACGTTACTGGGCAGCAATACAAACACATACAATCGTTGGCTTCATCCAAACCCAGCACTCCACTAACAATTTACCTGAACCTTGCTGTGACATTACAAGCCCTTAATTGTAAACTAGGCACTACTGTAAAATCCTTCACAATTCTGCCCTTCTATTGAATTTCACAGTAAATCAATTACCAGTCCAGAATTGACGAAATGGGTAAAATTACCCATAAATCCTACTTATTTCAAAGCGCGCCATAGTTCATCTGCATGAGGTAACAAGTAATTCTTTACATGTCTTCCAAAACGCTATAGTTTGAACCAGATCAAAATTTGACAGCTAGCTAAACCTGGAGCGACCAGATCTCTGGTTTGTGGTGTAATGAGACTGGGAAGTCAGATTCATATTTTCCAGTATGAACGCATTTTAATAAATCAAGTCTTAACTGGTGGCTCTAAAATGAACCAAAACCACGATCTTACAGCTTGATCTACCAGACTATATGGTGGGTATAAGTAAAATGAATGTCAAAATGTCTTGCTATTAATGGGACACCATAATGGAGTACGGCGGAAAACCCGCGGTTTAATGCTACAGTTGCAAACAAAACAAACGTACATCTGAACGCCATTTACACAGGTACAAAACTCACCAGCACCTGAAAATACCACACACCATAGCCGTTAGCAAGTTCAAAGAGTAAGATATTTAATACTGCATTAAAACATGTAAAAATTATATAAATGTTAAAAAAAAAACAAAAACATTGGTTTTACTATTTACATGAGACACCCAGCAGGACTGAGCCAGAAATCGCTCGAGCCACACGGATGCTGCACCACAGCCAGGAACGCAGGACGTCAAAGACGGCCGGGCCGGGCTGTGCTTCCACCCCCTTGCTCACAGGATGACGTAGCAGAAGAGGGCCATGATGGCAGCGCTGATGAGGCCCGAGATGGGGACGGTCACAAACCAGGCCATGAAGATGTTGCGGAAGAGGCGCCAGTCCACAGCCCTGCGGGATCGCAGCCAGCCGACGGCCACCACAGAGCCCACCTGGGGGGGGGAGGGGGGCCGGCGGTTAGTGACACGACGCTAACGGAGACCGCGAGCCGGACAAGGCGGCCGGAGCCCGTTACCTTGCAGTGGGTGGTGCTGATGGGCAGGCCGACGTTGGAAGCGACCACTACGGTGAGGGCGGAGGCCAGCTCGATGCTGAACCCGCTGCGGAAGAGAGGACAAAACCAGCGGGTTACAATGGCAATACTGGGGGAGGATGGGTGACTGACTCCGCCCACATTCCTCCAAGGCACATTTGGGGATTTGGTTACCTGGAGGGGGTGATAGGGGTGAGGTCTTTGCCCATGGTCTGGATGACCCTGCGGCCCCACACCCAGAGGCCTATGCAGATGCCGACCCCCCCGTACAGCAGCAGCCAGATGGGCGTGGGGGTGGTGGATTCCACCGAGTTGTCCTGGTACACTAGCCACAGTGCCACCAGTGGGCCGATGGCATTGCTGCAAAGGAGAGTCACACAGGTTTGTACCCGAAAACGCCGGGTGCGGTCGCCCCTGCCCCCCGCCCTGCCGAACCCTACCGAACCCTACCTGACATCATTGCCACCATGGGCGAAGGAGCCGAAGCAGGCGGTGAGGATCTGCAGGAACTGGAAGAGCAGCGACACCGCCGGCTTGTCGGCCTCCGTGCCGCTACGCTCCAGGGAGCTTTGGCTGCTGCCGCTGGCGCCGTCGTCGGTGCTGCCTTCGCCCACCTGCACGGCCTCCTCGCTCACCTCGGCGCTCACGCTGGCGATCTCGGGGGAGCCGCTCTCGGCCACCGCGTTGCAGTAGCTGGTGTAGCTGTCCATCCGCACGCGCTTCCTGTCCTGGCTGGCCGCGCCGTCACCCTCTCCTGGCCGGAAGTCGGCGTGCAGGCCGCAGATGGCCATGGTGTAGGCCGTGTAGCTGTTATTGCGCCGCATGGGCCGCTCCCCCGGCTCCCCCATGCAGTCGCGCACCTTGGCCAGGTGCAGCTTGTGCAGCAGGTCCTTGTAGAGGCCCGAGTCCTTGTGCACCGTGTGGTACTGGCTGTAGCCGACGCTGGGAATGTGAGCCGGGCCGTTGCTGAACTGAATGTGGGCCCGGTTCTGGCCTGGTGAGGGCAACGACATCATCAATATCCAGCCAATCAGAGTGTGATGACACCAAAGTGCTGTTGGCCACTTCAGAAGCCAACTCGCACGGATCAGAAACTGCGGTGCG